TTTGGAACTTCTAAATCATATTTTTCCGCCCTTTAAAGCTCTGAAAATTAGTATGTAAACCAAATAAAAGAGTAGGAAAGCAAAGGATATGAGCTATGGAATAAGGTTCAAGAAATGGTGATAAGCCCCTCCACCTTTAGTAGCTCTTTAACCCCAAGTTTCAGCACTTGGAATTGATTCAAAATAGTATGAAAACACAAGAAAAATATAGAAAAAGATTGAAATGAAAGCAAGGAAGAAGGTGGCAAGATTATACCTCTTACAGAGAGAAAGCTTTTGTTGTAAACCAAACTTGATCATAAGGCACTCTCAAGTTTGAATTATGGTTCCAAAGTCTCAACCAAGGCTCCAAGCTTAAGCTCTAATGGTGTATATAGTATATGTATATAGTTCAAGGATGATAGGATAGCACAAAGGTGACTTGCAAAGGAAAAAGGAGCTCTCAAAGGTCCTTTTAGCTCTTTGAAATTTTCTAACCCTCAACATAGAGATATCAGCTCGTATTTATAGAATTTGAGGTAAATAGGTCACAAATATCTTCAAAAATAGACAGCTGACAGATTCTCACCCCTAATAGTGTTTATCACCCAAAAGGCACGGTCGAGCCCTAATGTGGCTCCCCTGTTCCTCGATTTTAGTTTCAATGTAGGTTGGCACAGTCCTCAAAAATGGATTTCTGAGGTAAAAATAGTGTGGGTATGGAAGGTTGGGAATTCGGATTCCTTCGTGAATTCAAACCATTTACACAATGTAACTTTCATCATCGAGTGCCCAGAATAAAGCTCCCAAGTCTTGCGGGCGATCAAAAATGGGATGTCTACACAGTCCCATAGGTTGAGATAGCTTGTATGCGCTGTGATTCTGGATACTGAACCAACCTAGTTTGTCACCCTGTTGGAGAATAGGGAAAGTTGCAAACATAGCCAAGGAGAAAAGTAGTACTCGTGGTTTGAAAGCGCAAGAAGAAGAAAAAAAAAAATCCCCAGCAGCATGAGGTGAGTCATCGCCAATTACCCCTGTAAGGTACTTTCTAAAGGCACCACTTCCTAGCTGCTACATCATATCTATCTATTACCTCTATCGCATTGCATATAACGTCTATCACATGCATCTACTACATTGTCCATTACATCCATTACATCATACCATTTTATTACCTGCATCCTTTCCACGTTAAGCTTAGTTTGGCATGTGCCTGTACTTTTCACGTTAAAACATAGCTCTGCATGTGTACGCACCTATTCTGTAAGAATTGTGGTCTGAGGGTTTCGACACCTTTTCTGTGTTAGACATAGCTTGTTTTGTGTCCATACCTTTTCTAGGTAAGACATAGTTTGGCCTGCGTCTCTTATTCACTTCATCTATTGCATCCATTGCATCATAATTTGTCTTAATGCATTTAGCATTTAGAATCATTATCTTTCCCCAGCAAATCATTTCTCACTTATAGCATATTGTGGGCTCACCTTTTTTCGTGCCCTGCCTTTCGAAAAGGTTTTGAAAAGAAGGCCTCACAGTTCGGACTCCTGCTGTTCTGAATCTTGTCTCACAAGTGCAATGTAAAACTGATAAACACTAAAGAGTCCAAATCCAACAAACCTTTTTGGAAAATCGATTTTAAATCAAATAATGCCAAAATTGGACTGCTTTGCCAGATACAGAGTCGCCACCTAAATATTTTATATTGGGAAAATTTAGGAAACCCTGACTCGTGCCAAAGGCCACGTATCCGTCATTAGCAAAGTTGCCTCAGCTCGGGAACATAGGTTACGAGAGAGGAAGGTCATGAATTGAGCACCCCCGCTCGCTCGATCAAAGATCGACCTTTACTAATCATGACATGTTCCTTTATAAACACTATGTGTTCTTATTCCGATTATTAGACTAGATTTACTATGTGACGCACACAAGCAAGTATAGACTAGTTTGCTCAACTTGGAACAATTCAACTCATGTTTGTTTGCAAAAATGGTTTGAATTTGCCACTCTCAAGTGTGCTTAAAGATGCGAGTTTGCCACCAAATATAGTGGGCTTAAAACATGATTTGCCACTTAATAAAGTGGGCTTAAAACGCACATTTGTTGAATTGTTCCAATTCAAACAACAAGCCTTCATCCACAGGCATTCATGCAGTTTAGCATTTAAGCACATAGCCTCATGGCAAGCATGCTAATCATGGAAACATGGCAATCACACTCATGCAAGTATGCTAAAGCGTAAAAGCTTACCTAGTACTCCAAGCTAAAACAGAAACTAGTTAGAAAGATGCAAGATCCTAACTATGTTAAGATGCCTAATGCAACACATGCAATAATGCGATTAATAGGCTCGGCTACTAATATGGCATATGAATCGATTTGAGCAACATGCGATTAAACACGTATTCAAAGAAGTATTTAAATAATGATGCAGTTTGAATGATGTGCCGAGCCTCGGTGCATGCAAGACAAGATGAATGTATGCAAGCATGCGATATGCTAATTAAAACATGACCCTAATCTAACAGTCAAAAGCGATTAAATAAAAGGGAGAAAGATATGGGCTTAGAAGACATATACACACGCACGCACACTTATTACAACATTACGCCCTCGCGAAGGAGAGTCCGAATGAATAAATGCTAACTAGCTACGCTAATTATTATAACAATTGAATCGAATTAACTAACTTATTCTAAGCTAATTTAATAATACAAATCGAAGTAATTAGCTAAAAACTAAGCTAATTAAGTACAAAGCAATTAAACTAATTAATTAACTACCACTAATTAACTAAACAAAGCAATTAAATGGCCTCAGGAAGCGAGGGATGCATGCATGCTCGGTTTCTCCACCCGAAAAAGCCACCGCTTTGCCACTAAACGCCTATGTTTGCACATTTGAGCACCTACAGTGCTGCTAACTCCCAGAATGTCTCTGCTCCACCTTACCAACACACTGTGCAATTTTCATTGGTGGCCGATAGGGGGCATGTCGGCTACCAATGGTGGCCGGTCGGCTGCTAGTGGTGGTCGGTCGGCCACTGATGACATGAACTCCTCTTTTTGCTGCAACAGAGAGCAAACAGAGCAAAACAGTGTATTCTCACAAGTTTGTGTGTACCGTTTACACTCCTTATCATCAAACAAGCTCAAAAAAGTGAAACTCTTGGCTCTCAAACCACCAATCAAGCAATTTCCATGCATGATGGATAAAGAACCAAGTTTGTACAAGTTAAAGAGTGCAAAACAAGACTCAAAAAGACCACCACCCTATCATGCATGATCAAGGGTGATGGTGACCAAGGAAAGTGGCACATTTCATCACTTTGAGTATGAAATGTCCCATTTTTCTTGTGTTCAAATTAACGTCTGATTCGAACACATGCAATGAAACACAAAAGATGCTTATCTTGCCTCTTTTACTTGTCCAATTTTGTTTACTCATTTTACATTACCGATTCATTCTTTAATCGATTAAGTCCAAAAGTGAGTGTCTTCTAAAGCGAGAGAAGTGTCAACCAAGGGGTAGTTCAAGGCATAGGGGAAGCTTCATGTCATTGGTAATGAACCCTCAAAAGAGGATTAAACCATTAAGCATGAGCATCAACCTCAAGCTTAAATAACCCTAAGGTTGAAACAACCCTCAAAACAAATGAAAAAGTGAAGAAATGAGGGAGGTTGCAGAGATTGAATATGCTGAAATGAAGTGTAAAACAACACTAGAGCATGCTATTAACTCAAAACAATGATGATCAAAGCATTAAAACATCAAGCTAGTGAAGGAAATAACACTACAACCATGCAATACAAGCCTCAACTAAACCAACTAGCCCAAAACAGAGCCACAATAGAGGCAAAAACATGCTGAACTTAAGCTAAGTTAAGCTAGAAAAACATGCTAACTCATGAAGCTAACTAGGCATGCAAACAAGACACAAGGAGGGAAGGCTAACCCCTCCAATTTTGGACTTCAAAAATCAATTTTTACCACTAAAAAATCTCTGAATTTCAGTGGTTAAAAGGCCCAAAAAAGTTGATTTGAAAGTGATGAATAATAGCACAAAAAACTCAACAAACAAAGAGTAAGAAGGGTGGACCACCCCCTAACACAAAATAGCCTAAAACCATCATTTTTAGGTCATAAAAACAGAGGTTTTTACAGTTGAAAACTAGGCCAAAAACTGTAGAAAAAGATGGGAAAATAAGTATGGAAAACAAGCTTAAATAATGTAAGTGTTATACCTTTGAAGCAAAGCACAAACTAGGCACAAATCCAAGCTCAAACCTCCTTCTAGAGCTCAAACAAGACTCCAAGAGAACTCAGCCCAAAGGTGGTCAAGTTTGATTAAGGGTTGATAGGCAAACTAGAAGTATATCTCTGCTTGTATGCACAAAGGTTCAAGAGAGAGAGAAATCTAAAGAGAGAGAATTGTAAAAAGAGAGGATTGTAGAGAGAGGCTCCCAAAATTTTTCCAACCTTGAAAACAATAAAGAAAGTCCTCTTACTACAACAAAAAAAGGTTTTTATGGCGCTCAATGCACGTCGTAAAAACGCTTTTACGACGTGCAGCGTGCGTCATATTATGACCAGTCATGGAAAGTCATTCACTTTCAACGACATGCGTCATACGCCGTTAAAAACTATTTTATAGCAGATTTTGTACGTCGTTATTACTTTTTCTACGACATGCTATAGTACGCCATTAAAAACTATTTAACGGCAGATTTTGTGCATTATTGTTATTTTTTCTACGACTACTTTTGCACATCATTAATTGGCGAGACAAGTAATGACATTGATTACACGCCGTAAAATATGTAATACAACGACTTATTATGCCTATCGTAGAATAAGTTTTTTTTTTTTTTTAAATTCAGTAGGTTCTATTTGACCAATTTTGTACAATCTAACAAATATTACAAACAAGCATCACAAAACATCAATCAACCACCAAAATATTGTTTGAAACATCAAAAAGAAATTATATCCATAAATTATAAATATTCAACAATTGTCTTTACATTCCAAACATTCGAAAACTATATCCTTAAGTTTTAAACTGTACAACAAGTTTAAACCATCCAAAACTATACATATCTAACTTTCTAAATATATCGACAACTATTAAGAGATTATCTAAAACTATCGACAACAATTCCTATAACAGTTGCAGCTGCAGCAAATCCACTTGATCTATCACAGGGACGAGGGTGCCCAATGAATGTGTTAAGGCACCTAAACCCGTAGCAATAGCTGGAGCAACTAACCTTGTTGCATTTCTTGTCTGCATGACAAAGGAAACTTCACATAAGTACAAAAACCAACGACTCAGGGACAAAAATATTTCTTGAGGTATTAAGAAATGATCAAGAAACTTTAAAACATCAACAAAACATTTCCAAAATTAATAAGATAATTCAATGGCCCCATAAAAGCAATGTCATAATGAAAAATTAGCAAAAATTCAAGATCTCAATAGTCTCAACGTATATGCAAATAAAATCCACATAAAGCAAAACCTTTTTTTTCATACCTCAAATGAAATTACCTCTTTTGTTGCAATGTTTCTAGAGGGAAATGAGTAGGAATCTCCAAACAAACCATTAAGTTTGTACAGGAAAATATAGTTTGCTACTAAATATAGGCCATAAGAAGCTCAAGAGAAAAGAAGCACATTCAGACTGTCAAGGAGCTCTCACAAAATAGTTAGCTTCACGGAGTTCTCACAAAATTATATTGCAAAATATTAAGCCATGACTATTTACATGAAATAAATAAAATATGTTCGAATATAGATATCAGACTTTTCTCAAGTAAACAAAGGTTCTAGAGTCCCAAATAGGAGACATGTTGCCTATGATAACACATCTGTCAGCAAATGATCCTTCTAACTGAATCTTTTTATCAAGAATTTCATATGCAACCAATTGTGGTTAATGCAAAACACATGGAAGGCCAACCGAATAAAATAAAATAAAATAAAAAAACATCATCAGGAGAATTGTAATAGAAAAAAAGTAAAACTCACAAAGTTTTGAGGTTAGGAATCTGTGTTAACGTTAAAGGGATAGGGTCATTCAATTGATTGTTCTTCAAATTCCTGCATTTACAGAGCTTACTCAAGCCCTTGGTTGGTAGAACTAAAAACTTATCTAAAACAATCCAGCATACTTAGTTAATAGTACTTCACTTCAGGTATTTAACTTACAATAATTCAAGCTGCTTAAGCTTGGATATTGAGAATAGTATATCTCCATACAGTAAATTATCAGATAAATCCCTGCATTATGGAACCAAACAATATAACGCGTTTTTCAATGTGTACTGATACAGAAAGAATTCCTTTTCTTTTTGACAAGTGCAGGTACATGGGTCCACCATGCATGTGGCTTGGCCACGCCATTGCCAGATTAGCTCCTCCAACAGATCTTGATTCCAGATGCCAACCTCGTAAGGTGACACCTAGATCAATTAAATATTGCCACGTGTGCTAGTCAAGGCTAGTCTCAAGTTAAGGCACAGCACTAGGTGGCAATATCCAGAAAGGCCCCATGCAAGCTTACTGCTCGGTGGAGCATGCCTTCACGCTGAAGTGACAATTAACAATCTTCCAGCCAATACATACTAGTTATACTAGTTCTTTTCTTTGCATCATAAATGAATAAATGTAGAACATTATACAGGCACAGTATGCGAACTAGGGCACCTTTGATACAAATACAAAATAATATTCATAGACACACCTTCACAATATTGTCAATATTGTCAGCATACTTCATGACCATCGATACAGCAATGCCACTGCAAAGATAGCAAATTAATTCATACTGGAAGAAACAAATTTAGATGTGTAAAATGGAACTATTTAAATTAATCATAAGTCAACAGGAAAAACCAAAGTTCATATGTAATGGAGCTATTTAGCTAAGTCAATTGATTTACTGAAGTAGCAGGTGCTCCACAGGGCACATTCTTTTAGCCAACAATCAACAAAAATTTATGGATGCCCTTTCTTCCTTTCAGAAAAGGGAAATGAAACCCGAAGAAAAAAAAAAAAAAAAAAACTTACAAATAAAAGGAACAAAAAAATCCCTCAACTAAAAACTAAATTACAAAAAGGAACTAGTTTATATTATGAAGTTCACAGTATTAGATTATGTTAAGAGGGAAAAAGGATTTTTTTTATTTAAATAAGTAATATGCAGAAAAATGACATTCAGTACAAGATTATGCATGACAAAAAACTAAAAAAAGGACAATTCATGCTAGAGACCATCTCATTGGTCAAAGTCACAACTGATACAAATAGTCAAATAGATGATGTAAAACCAGTAATGTACGAGAAAACTGTCATGGACTCTCACCATGGTCCAATAAGTGGTTCTAACATACAGTATTCTTTGTAATATTCTTTATAAAAAAAATTGGCCTTGATGGAAACGACTTATCCATTGGGACCACATTTCATTTATATACTACACATATATCTATGAGATGGTACTGTCTAATAAAATAATTGTTGAAATTGACATGCTTGAAAATTTTATTCCACTTAATAGTTAACATTACCCAACCTAAGGTAGTGAAATAATTTCCGTTAGAATAATAAATAATGAATTTGGTACAAGTTATGTCTTTTACTACCACACATTGCACAGGCTAGTGTCCATTAATGTCTACCAACAATGCAAGCAATAAACATTTCCTCAACCCCGTCTGAATATCTGAGCTCAAGAAGTTTGAAGTGAGTTTATAATAATCTACAAAATTTGCCAAATCTTCACATTCCTATGGGAGAGTGATCTCTATCAAATCAGAAAATTAGGAACTAGAAAGGAAAAAAGCTATCAATGGATGATACCAATTCAATCATATTACCATAGTGCATGGTTAAGAACATGAGAGTTGTAATTAATGAGTATCCGTGGAAGAATCCCCTGTAAAAGAAAAGTTTTACTCATGAAATATAAAGAAATTATGAATTCATTTAAGCACTGCTACAGGAGAACTAGACTAGCTAAGTAACAAACTAGTCATAGACAAACATGTCAAAAACATATACAATCTACCAACTTATGAAGTCAAGCCAAAAAGAAGGAAAAGGAGAGAGAGAGAGAGAGAATGCAACCACCATTCTGTTTTCCTCAAAAGAATTGACATTTAGTTTCTGTTCTAGTCTTCTCTAGTAGTTGTAAGGCAGGGAAGTTGGAAATTGTAGTAGCGAGATACTTCAAAGCAGGGCTAATGAGATATAATAGAAAATAACATGCCACTATTAAAATAAAGACTAAAAATCTTAATCACCTAAAGACAGAAGAAGATATTAATACATCCACATATATGAAAATAAAATTGCAATGAAGAAAGAAGATGAAATTTTACACCAGCATCAGAGAAACACAGTTGCCTATCTCATCAGGAATTTGACCAGTTAATTTGTTCCCTTGAAAATCCCTGAAAATATTTCAAATATAACATCTAAAGTTGGAATTATGTTAACCTGGTTACAATGAGCAAGAACACCAAATCAACAAGATTAGCAAAGAAAGCATACATGAACTGTAGATTCTTCAGGTCTCCAATGGCTGGTGAAATCTCCCCACCCAAGTTCAAATTTGACAAATTCCTTCAACAAACAAATATAATAAAAATATATATATATACATCAAATCTTAGCTTCATATCATTGTGTTCAACTTCTGCAAAAGAAGATCCCTACAGGCTCAGTTTCTCCCTGTATTCCAGTTAGGCAATTTCCTATCAGTGCAGTAATTTTGATTTCAAACTGAATTCTTCATTTAATTGAATTGACCCAGTGAGTTTAACAAGTGCTAAGTACATATAAATCACTTGGGATTTCATTATATTTTCTTAAAATTTTCTGGTTTAGCAGAAATTGAAGAACATAAAAGATACACTACTAGAAAACAAAAGAGTCCTTTTTTTTTTTTATAACTAGAGCATATGCTAAACATCAATTACACAATACATTAATTAAATATATTCTTAATCAAAATTATTCAATCAATTGAACCAATGAGGAGAGCAGAGGAGAAGACAGTCGAGGAGACCAGAGGAAAGAAGAGGAAAGCAGAGGAAAACTATACATATACAACCTAAAACTCAAATCTAATTTTTGATTTGCTCAATCAAAACCCTAATTTTTCAATGAAAATCCCCAAATCAAAACCCTAGTTTGAATTTCCAAACCTGACTGATGGGTCGAAGATTCTTTCTTCACCGAGTGGCATGCATTTGTCTCTTCCGTCTCCTTCAAGCATTCTCCCTCCGATAGTTGTCTCTCACTTCATCGTTACTTCTCTCTCTCTCTCTCTCTCTCTCTCTCTCTCTTCATTCTTCTATTCTCAAAGTTCTCTCTTTGCATCTTTTCTTCATTCCTTATTCTACTTCTCACTAGTTGTTATGGTTACTCCTGGAATAGATGAATCAGAATCGAACATCAGGTCTAAGTCAATAGCTTCACATCATTGTGTTCAACTTGAAGAGGTTTTTGCTTCTTGGAGCTCTTGATGTCGATTTGGGTTTGGGTGTGTGTGTGTGTGTGTGTGTGTGAGAGAGAGAGAGAGAGAGAGAGAGGGTTTGGAGAGTATTTTCTATGGTAATGTTCTTGCAAGGAGATGATGAAAGAACATAGACATGGAGAGATAGTGTGGCAGAGAGAGATAGAGAGGGCTGAGAGCGTTTGTTTTGTTTTTTTTTTTTGGTTTTTTTTTTTTTTTTTTTTTTTTAAGGTGTTTGGCGCCCAAAATTTTTATTCTAGCACCTATTTTTATTTTAGTCATACCATTCACGATAGAAATTGTGTGTTGTGAAAAGTGAAATACTTTTAACAGTTAGCATATGTGCATCGTGTAAAGTATACTTTTTAACAACTGACCTTTTGTGCGCTGTAAAAAGTGTAATATTTTTAATGGCTGACTTTTTGTGCGTCGTGAAATGTTCAATATTTTTAACGGCTAGTGTACGCGTGTCGTGTATAGTTGATGTATTAACGGCATGTTATATGCTCGTCCTAGAAAGTTTTATTATTTATGACTAACATTGCAAGCCGTAAAAAAATCATCATTATTGACATTCACGGCCTACGCAATAGACACGCCGTGGTTGGAAAAGTATTTACGACATGAAAAAAAGCAAGTCGTAAAAGTGAGAAACTACGGCGTGCATTTATTGTATGTCGTTGATGTGGTGTTGTAAAAAGTCAGTTTTGTTGTAGTGTCTATATATAGAAAAGTGTGAGCTCAGGTCAAATATATCTCAAAATGGGACAGCTGGAGCAGTGTAGAACAGCTGGAGGGAAAATATCTGCACAAAAAGTGACTTTTTGCACCAATGGCCGACCGACCATCACTAGTGGGCGACCAGCCACCACTGATGGCTAAAAAAACTCACTCTTGGCCGACACATGGCCGTCAAACCTCACTAGGGGCTAGTAAGTAAAAACTGGTTTCTGGCCCCAACTTCAAATAGGAATATCTCTTTTGTCCGGACTCCTTTGCAGGTCATTCTTGAGTCTAAATTGAAGCCCCGAAAGACTTCTTTCAATGGTGGAAGCCTCACATCAAAATTCTAAGCGTGCAAAAAGATATCCTTGTTTTAGTGAAGACTGCTCAGTTTCGGTCCTAACCGGATTGATGCCCAACTTCAACAAGTCATATCTCCCTCATCCGGACTCGACTTTAGGAGATTCTTTAGTGTAAAATGAAGCTCCAGAAGTCCAATTTCCAATGGTGGTGGCCCCATAGCTGAAATCTAAGTGTACGAAAGGATAGCCCTGATTTAGTGAAGCTGCCCAGTTCCCTCTTAACGATTTGTGCCCAACTTCTTCCCCAACTTGGTTTCTTCACTCTCGTCCAATTTTATTCAACTCCAAGCCTCTAAATAAGGTGTTTTGAAAGATTTTTCAAAGAGTTCCCCTCTCTTTCATTCATTTCCACTTTGTCCTTGCTCGATTTAACGAAAAGCGCACCATTTAGTGAAATGCGAGCCTTGGGACATCGTAGAAACGTTTTTCAAAAATATTTTGAAAGAGAGGGTTTTAAGGTCTAAAATGATTTCGATCAAAATCGTTTTGGTCCAAAATGGGGTGTAAGGTTGGAACGTAGAAGCTCTTCTTGCTAAAGAAATCAAACATTTGCATAGCATAGCCTTCATCACCGAGTGATCAACATGTGGTGCCTAAGTCTTATGGGCGGTCAAAAATGGGTGTCTACAGTTGCCCCTCTTTGACAGAGCTCAGAGTCATGAAATGACGTGAGTGAATGTCAAAGCCCAGAGACGACCCATTTTGACAAGGCTGTAAGACTTGAGCAAACAAACAAAATGCAAATGCAATTGGTTGAACCCGAGGGTTGCCTACGTATCCGTTTGCAAGGAATCAAACCAGCATAGTTCAGGGGCAGAATACGAATGATACACAATATAACGAAACAATGCAAATGATATACAATGTAATGAAATAATCAAACCACAAGCAGAACAAAACACACAAATATCATAAAGGATGGCGACGCAAATCAAACTACGTTTTATATAGAAAAGGTGCCGGAGCACTCTAACCACAATTCTTGCAGAACAAGCGCGTGCACATGTGGAACTATGTTTTTCGTAGAAAGAGTAAGAGTACAAATAATTGAATGGTATGATATAAGTGAGGAATGATCTACTGAGGGAAGATAATGATCCTAAATGCTTAATACAACAAAACAAAGTACGATGCAATGGGTGCAATGGATGCTGTAAATAAGGAGCGCAAGCCAAACTACGTCTTACCTAGAAAAGGTGCCGAAACCCTCAGACCACAATTCTTAGTGGAATAGGCGTGTACACATGCAGAGCTATGCTTCAACGAAGGAAATGTATGAGCCCATGCCAAACTAAACTTAACATGGAAAGGACAGTATGATAAAACAAATAATGCAATAAATGCATGTAATAGATGCTATATACATTGCGATAGAAGTAATAGATTAAAACGGATATGATGATGCAGCTAGGAAGTGATGCTTTAGAAAGTACCTTACAGGGGCAATTGGCGATGACTCACCTTATGCTGCTGGGGATCTTCCTCTTCTACATCTTGTGCATCCAAACCACAGGTATTATTTTTCTCCCTGGCTATGTTCGCAACTTTCCCTATTCTCTAACAAGGTGACAGACTAGGTTGATTCAGTATCCAGAATTGAGACGCATACAAGCTATTTCAATCTATGGGGTTGCCATACAGATTTCAAGCCGAGGATACACCCCTTGGTATTTAAACTAGACTTTAGTCTCAGAAATTCCAAACCTTTGCGTTCTAGGCATTGGCCATTTGAACTCTAGTTTCCACCGTCTCAGTTGATCACTTAGGAACTCATCGCAATCACAAGCAGGTGGCTATACCAGACCACCGGAAGTCGTTCAGGCACGACAAACACCAAAGGAATTGCACCTTTAGAGGATTTAAGGTCTCCTAGACCAGGAGTGCACAAGACAATGCGATGTAGAGTGAATGCACAAAATAGTGCTATACAAGTGCACAAGACAGTGCGATGCAAGGTGCACATGACAATGCGATGCAAGTGCACAAGACAGCGCGATGCAATGCGCAAGATAGTGAGATGTAAATTGAACTGCACAAGACAGTGCGATGCAGAGGATGCGCAAGATAGCGCGAACAAAGGATGCGCAAGATAGCGCGATACAGAGGTGAATCCACAAGACAGTGCGATGCAATGGTAGAATGCAGAAGATAGTGCAATACAAAGTCCACAGGACAGTGCGAAACAGGGTGCACAAAACAGTGCGATGCAAGTTTGAATGCATGAAACAAATGTGAATGCACAAGACAGTGCAATACAAGGTGCACAAGACAGTGCGATACAGGGTGCACAAGACAGTGCGATGCAAGTTAAAATGCACAAAATAGTGCGAATAAGGTGCACAAGATAGTGCGAATGTAAAGTGAAATGCACAAAATAGTGCGCATACAAGTTGAAATGCACAAGATAGTGCAATGCAGGTTGAAATGCACAAGATAGTGTGATGCAAAGTGAATGAAACATTGCTAAGAAAGTGCACAAAACAGTGCGACCTAAAGGTGCACAAAAATAGTGCTATGTGTGTTAAATGCACAAGATAATGCAATGGTGCTCAAAATAGTGCGATGCAATGTGAATAGGATCGTGTGATGTGCACAAAATAGTGCGATGTAAATTGAAATTGTGCAATAGATGCATTGAGTGAGATTATTGTGAGATAGATACACAGAATGAGATTATTGTGCGGTAGATGCACAAAATGAACAAATGAGCAATGTTTACAAATTAATATAGTGACAACGCATGTTCCATGCAAGATAAACAACCGATGCATGATGTTCTATGCAAGAAACAAAGGCATATTCTATACAAACTTAAAAGCATGTTCTATGCAAGAAACGAGCATATTCTATGCAAACTTGAAAGCATGTTCTATGCAAAATAGAAAGCATATTCTATGCATAAATGAAACGATGCAGGCACGCATGCAACATAAGTGTATATGAAAGTGTACATTCTACGCATTAGAAGAGAATCGAATATGTGCTTTGGTGCCTCCGATTTACCTCTCAGAGGACTTTACAACATGCTCAACTCAAAAAGAGTACACCTTGTTCATATTGGCGAGGGATAACATTTGCATGCTGCTTTGATCGCCATTTTGACTTAAAGTAAGCTTGAACTCGGGGTCGAAGCACACTCATATTCCAGAGAAATGACGAGGCCTGCCGAAGGTGCATTTGGAATGCAGACTTGGAATTTGCTGAAGTTGAAACACACTCAGATGTTCTAATTTTCCCTCTTTTCTTTTTCTTTGAAGTTCGGAACCTATGTAGCTTCAGATAGATCCTGGTTTGATTGCTCTCTCTTGATCGGGGTTGAACCCTGCAGTTTATGAAATAAAGAATCCTGTTTTGCAAGTCATGTTGAGAATGGCACAGTACTCTAAGCACGAAACGATTTATTTTTGAAATTAAAATTGAGAAAGAGTTCTTGACTGGGTATTGAGCCTACGACTGACCAAAATCAAAACAACTAAACAAAGGGAAAGTAAAAACAACCTAAACACAAAACAACTCAAAACAAGACTCATAACAAACAAAACCACAAACACAACACTCGGACATTTTCTTTCCGTCGACAAGAGTGGGCCTATTTCTCTAGGTATTGTTTCCCACCCTTTCTCATTTGTGATTCTCACATCACTCTAGCACTCAATCTCTATTTCTCTGGAAAAAAAATCCTTTCCTCACTTTTTCTCTCAACCCACATCTCTCTATTATTTAATCTCTCTTCTTTTTTTTATCCCTCCCCCGGGTGGTTGATGGATAAGCAGGTAGTTGTAGACCCTTGCCCCTAGTATTCTACTAGATTCTCATTCCTTCGCTCACAACTAATGAGCTTTCCCACAGAGGGGTTGTGTTGCAATTGGATGAACAGCAGATCTGCAATTGACATCGGTTGACGATGCCCTTAGCTTAATTTGACCGAGATGAGTTACAGCATGTCCCACCGGCCAAGTATACAATTGATTGGTCTCGCATATTGCGTTTTCTACGTCCTCATTCCGGGTCAGATGCCAATTTGGGTGTGATCAAACCTGTCTAGAAGAGGGTGTCGAATACCCTGCTCTATTTCTAATCCGTGCTTCACACTTGGCTTGATACCTCACTGTTTGGAGGATGAG